CACACACACACACACAATCTTGGCCCCAGCCTGGCAGTTAAAAATCCTAGTCTTGCACACACCAGGATCCCATATGGGCGCCAGTTCTAATCCAGGAGGCCTTGCTTCCCATCCACAGTCCCAAAGCCTTAGGATCCAGAAGAAGCTCCTGTCTCCTGGCTCCAAATTGGATCAGCTCTGACTGTTGCGGTCACTTGGGGAATGAATCATCTGACTGAGGATCTTCCTCTATCCTCCTCTCTCTATATCCAATTTTCCAATAAAAATAAATAAATCTTTAAAAAAAAGCAAAGTCACATCTGAAGTTATTTCAACCAACACATGGTGATTTTTGTCTCTTCATTTTTTTTTTTTAAAGATTTATTTTATTTTTATTGGAAAGGCAGATATACAGAGAGGACAGAGAGGAAGATCTTCCGGCCAATGATTCACTCCCCAAGTGAGCACAAAGGCCTATACTATGCCAATCCGAAGCCAGGAGCCTCTTCCAGGTCTCCCACGCGGGTGCAGGGTCCCAAAGCTTTGGGCCGTCCTCGACTGCTTTCCCGGGTGACAGGCAGGGAGCTGGAAGGGAAGTGTAGCTGCTGGGATTAGAACCGGCACCCATATGGGATCCTTGCATGTGCAAGGCGAGGACCTTAACCACTGCGCCATGGCGCAGGGCCCTCTTCACAGTTTTTGTACTAAGGTTTATCTTTTATCATATGAAGACAGCTGGTTTTGCTTGCTTTTTATTTCCATCTGAATAGATTGTCACTTCCGATCTTTTGTTTTGCTTTGTTAAGACTGTTTTTGCTTTGTTAAGAGTGTTTCCTGTAGGCAGAACACAGTTGGGTCTACTGAGCAGCATAATTTAACTGTGAAACTCAGGCCAATCACATTAAAGGTTATTATTGGTAAGTAACGATTTTGTTTCATCATTTTTCCCTTAAAGATTCCTACTGCTGTATTTTGACTCTCCTTTGTTCTCTTACTAGGTTTTCAACCTATACATTCTTTCACAATGCGAACTTTGTTCCTTTATATAGGTATTTCCTCAACACTGCTAGGGATTTTTCCCATCAAAGTAAGCAAAATTCTGTATTTTTCCATGCCTATGAGTGAAGGCTTTGATTCTCAACACCAACAAATTAAAAGTTAAAAGCTCTCATGAACTTGTTAAGCACACACTCTAAAAATACTGTGGAACTAAACATACTTCTAAATACATATGAGAAGGAAAAACAATAAGCTTCCTTAGTTTCAAATAAAATCAATATGAAAATGAATGGCCTTCAAATCTAGAATCTACAACATCAAATTAAAAAGTGCAGTTAAAACGCATTTAATGGGGCCAGTGTTTCCCCGCAGAAATAACCATGGCCTGTGATGTCAGCAACCCATATGGGTACCAGTTTGTATCCTTAGCTGCTCCACTTCTGATCCAGCTCCCTACTAATGGACTGAGAAAAGCAGCAGAAGATGGTCCAAGTATTTGGGTCTCCACCACCCACATGGGAGACCGGGATGAATCTCCTGTCTCTTGGTTTCAGCCTGGCCTAGTCCCAGCCATTGTTGACATCTGGGGAGTGAACAGTAACATGTAAGATCTCTACCTCTCCTTCTCTATGTAACTTTGAAATGAATCATTTCTAATGAAAACGCATTTACTGTAATATGAGCAAAAGTATACAAAAGAGCAATTCATGTTTTAAAAGCTATAAAAAGTCAAAACAATAGAAAAGCAATACAAAATAATACTAAAGTATTAATAAAAGCTAAAACTAGGATTTTGAAATTTTTTTAAATAAAATTTTGAAAGACATTTGAGAAATACTAGCAAAAAAGAGAAACACCCACAAGCATTAAAAATGAAAACAGGTTATAGATGTACCATATATAAACAGGAGATATTAAAATGTATATATGTTAAATGTTTCTAAGTTACCTACAGAAGTTAACACTCTCAGCTTTTCTTGGCCAGAAAGTAATACCCAAGCTACCATTCAGGAAACATGTTCATCCAACTTTAAAACTACAGATACCATACAAATAAACAGGCAATATGTAACACAAAGCCCACACATTTAAAACTTAAGAACCACTTTCATAAATATTAGTAAATATCTGAAAATATTATGTTTAAGGTAACAAAAATACACTCATATATGGAGAGTTTAAAAATTTTCTACAAAAGTTGGCATACTACAAACTATTGAAGACAAACAAAAACTTAAACTGAAAATTAAATAAATTAGCTAAACACAAGCTAACAATGTACACTAAGGATCTAAATAGCAACTTGCAAAAGTAACAAATACAAAAATTATACATACAAAGGAAAAGTAAAAACATTTAAATTAATCCTTAATGTGCATCTTAAATGAAGTTAATAGAAGAGGGAGGCACTTCTTAAGCACACATTGAAAAGAATCCTTAACTGTTGAAAGACTAGTAATTTCTGATTTGCAACATTCAATCAACTACAAGCAGAAAAAATACATAAACCAGAGCCACAAATAATTCACAACAAACCTACACCCTCCCAAAGTAGAGGCTTTTATAAGTAGAAAAAGTGTAAAAGCAAGACGGCTAGAAAGATTTTAAACTCACAGCTGACTTTGTATCAACAACAGGAAAAGCCAGATAACCATGGGAAAATAGCTATGATGTGATAATCATTTACTACCTGATGTAAAGAACTGTTGTGATGCTGGTTTAATCACTGCCTGCAACAGAATAATCCCACAGAAGTCCCAGTTCCTGCTCCAAGTCTTTTCAGCTCCCTACTGAAGCACCTGAGAAAGCAGAGGAAGACAGCCCTTGTAATCAGGCTGCTGCCACAAGTGGGCACTATGTGGAGTCTTGGCCTGGCTGACCCAGTCCCAGCTGTTGTGGCCACTGCGAGTGAGCCAGCAGACAGGGGGTATCTCTATTGCCTTCTCCCACAGTAGATGGAGGTCATCTCTCCCAAACTCCAACTATCGCAAATCCCCTACATATGCCTTTTCTTCAATAACATTGCCTTTCAGATAAAATAAGCAAATCTTAAAAAAAAAAAGGTGGGGCCCGGCACGGTGGCGCAAGTGGTTAAAGGTCCTCGCCTAGCACGCCCGGGATCCCATATGGGCGCCGGTTCTAATCCCGGCAGCCCCGCTTCCCTTCCAGCTCCCTGCCTGTGGCCTGGGAAGGCAGTCGAGGACGGCCCAAAGGCTTTGGGAACCTGCACCCGCGTGGGAGACCCAGAGGAGGCTCCTGGCTTCGGATCGGCATAGTATCGGCCCGTTGCGCTCACTTGGGGAGTGAATCATCGGACGGAAGATCTTCCTCTCTGTCTCTCCTCTCTCTGTATATCCGCCTTTCCAATGAAAAAATAATAAAAATAAATCTTTAAAAAAAAAAAAAAAAAAGGTGAAATACCTATTTTCAAACAAAGAACTAAAGTCCAGCATTCATAGAATAAAGATATTTTAAAATATTTATTTCATACACCTAAACTATTTCATACGAAGCTCAGAAAAGTAAAATCAGGTAAATATAAATAATACTGACTATGTAACATAATAACTAAAAAACTTACTCTGTAAGAGCACGACCAGGTTGAGGTAATAAAATGGACAAAATCCCTTATTAGCTACAATTAGGATGATCTATTAATGGTGAAGCCTTTCGGCTTCATTTACTTTCAAGAAGATGATCAGTATTCCTTAGACTTAACCCTGAAACCTAAAAAGTAAATATTCTGAAAGTATATTCTTAAAAAGCAGCCATTTAAGTACTACATGGAGGATAAATGTAAGAAAGTCTGAAATTCAAGAAGAAAGCTATGACAAAGAATAATCAAAAGGGTGATGATAATGTATTGATACAAAACTATAGATTTGAAGGCTAAAAACAGTAGATGTGGAGAAAGCCATAACAATAACAGTTCATTTGCTTCAGAGGAAAGATCCAAGTGTAACTTTTGTTTACCTTAAGAAAGTAGCTGTAGGCCCAGCACCGGATAGCTTGGTAGCTAAATCCTTGCATGCACCAGGATGCTGGTTCCTCTCCCAGCTGTTCCACTTCCCATCCAGTTCCCTGCTTATGGCCCAAAGCCTTGGGACCCTGCACCCATATGGCAGACCCAGAAGAAGCTCCTGGCTCCTGGTTTCAGATCAGATCAGATCAGCTCAGATCCGGCTACTGCAGCCACTTTGGGAGTGAACCAGCACACAAAGATCTCTCTGTCTCTCATTCTCTGTAAATTTGTCATTCCAATAAAAGTACATAAATCTTAAAAAAAAAAAAAAAAAAGCTGGAAAGAATGTAAAATTCAGTAGAAACATAAAGTTGGGGTTGGCATCATGGCACAGATGTTTAAGCTGCTGCGATGGTGGCATCCCATATGAGCACCTGTTCAAGTCCAGTACACTATCCTTCTGATCCAGCTTCCTGCTAATGTGCCTGAGGAAATAGCAGAAGATGACCCAAGTGCTTGGGCCGCTGCCCACCCACCTAGGAGACCTAGTTTAGTTGAGGCTTCTGGATTCATCTTGGTCCAGCCTTGGCTTTTGTAAACATTTGTGGAGCAAGCAGCAGATGGAAAATTTTTCTCTATATATAGGTCAGCCTTTTAAATAAATATATCTTTTAAAATCAAGAAAAAGCAGTAAATCCACCATCATAGTTGGAGATTTGAAAACACATCTCTGACAATCTAATACCAGACAAGAAACACTTAAATTTTTACAAGACATAAGCTGATAAAAAAAAAATCACAAACATAACCCAACAAGTATTTAGAAAACATTAAAGACAATTACAAAATACATTATTGTTCCATATCAAAACCACAGTTGCTTCTCACCAACTTTTTAGTACATTGCTGATATTATATTGCCTAAATTGAAATAAACTTTTGAAACACTGTTCTCACACATTTGTAGCAGAAATGTTAAAATTATTTTTCAGTAACACATGAATCAAAGAAATGACTACAACAAAAATAAAAAATGTTACAAAATGTGACCATTGCTTCTCAGTCTTTTGGCTGTGAAAATAGAGAAAGTCAGAAGAAATTTTTAGCCTTAAATGTTTATTCGAAAAAGCAAAGATCCAAATATACAAGGTTATTTTTGAAAAAACAAAACAAAACAAAAAACAAAAACAGGAGTTTACATAAGCAGTAAATCTTTTTCATTCAAATACAGAAAGCAGAAACTGACCTCAAGGTTTCAGTAAAAATCAATGGTGACTTACACAAGCTAATCTTTTTTCATCTTTGACAATTTGTTTTAAAATGAAGATATGAAGTAGTGGTCACAGCAAATATTTGGATAAGGTACACACACACACATACACACACCCCCACACACAAATAAGGAATGAAGCATCAGGTTATCTGAAAGCAGGGTCAGACATGTAACATGTGAACATGTTACTATGGTTACAGTAAAAGCCCTAGCACAAAGCCAAGAATTCAACAACCATCTGAACCACATCTAACCAACTGCATAGCCATTCTTCCCTTCCTTCCATTAAGCTCAGCATACTTGCACTACATGAATCTGAACAAGCAAAGAATGATTACACAGGCCAAGAAACGCTTCCAAGCTCCTGTCATGTAGTTCTTCCCACAAGCACATAAAAATCAACAAATAAAATGGTAACTGGCAGAGATTCAGGGCTTTTTACAGATAAGACTTTTTACCCCCACATTAATTATGGTCACCAATCAGACTGCACTCAGGAATTCACATACTACCTTGCTGGAAAAGAAGAGGGTTTATCCCTGGGTTGAATAGAGCATAGGGCTCAGTGCTAAACTTCCGCCATCTCCTTTCCCCTTGCAATTGATTCCATGGGCAGGGGTTACATGTAAACAAAAGGCAGATGACAGACCCTATATTCTTTCTTATACATAGGAGAGGGATATTACAACTGAGTTGGGTTCTGCTACACTCTAGGATCCATTCCCATGCTTCTATCCAAGAAGCCATGGTAAGCTTATATATACAGCAAGATGTATGCTACTAGACTTGGAAAAACATCTCAGCAGTAGATAAGGCCAGTCTCTCAGCTTCTCTCTGCACCTGCTGACTGCCTGTCCCATCTTTCATTTACCTTCTTTCTCCATAGTGTTCCCAAGGAAATTCAGGTAAACTGGCAGCTCTGCTGGTAGCTCAGCCTTGGCTTTGGCCTGAGTATCAGCCTCAGGGCATGGTACCTTCCCTTGCAGGGTAAACAGGAGTTGAAGGAAGTTCTGGTGCCTGGACAGAAAACATAGGTATGAGTGAAGGGAATCTCAGATGAACAAATCTAGGTCTGTAGTTCAGGCTCCCATAGTCACCTCTGCAGCTGGTCCTGCACCAGTCCTGCCTGCTGCTTCAGGTTTCCAAGTTCCTGAGACAGCTGTTCAAGCTCCTGCTGTGTTCCAGTCTTCTGTTCCCTGATCTCTGCAGAAACTTCTGCTAGATGTTGCAGATGCTTCTCCTGCCAGCAATGAGGGTGCACACAGTTCATCAGATCCTGAAATCTTAAACCCATCCTCCCAGCCCTCTAGCCTAAACCCAGCTCAGAGCTAAAATACAGGTAACTACAGACAAAACAAATGAGCACAGAAAAGAAAGGATAGCTTCTCATTTTATGTACTCACAGTAATACTCATCTTAACAACTGTATAGGATTAAGACATTAACACTGCCTCCATTACAGACACGTGTGTTAGGTGATCTAATATCACACAGTGTTGAAATGACACTAAACTTCAAGCCATGGTGGTGTCTACAAAGAACTCAAATGAGAAATGAAGGGAAAGTTTTCCTAGCAAGATCGTATGATTAAGATGATGAAAAGGTGGTGAGAAAGGCTATTCTACAGACACACCTGTTGCAGCTGCCACTGCTTCTGGGCTGTTCTGAGTTTCTCCATGGCCACCCTCTTCTGTGGATAAGGAAGGAAAGTGGTTGAGGAATAAAGATATTTATTCTTCTGGTTGAATTTTGGAAGACAACAAGTGCATTCAACACTGCTTACTCAGCCTTTTCTTCTCTTCCCTCATCCCACTCAAGAAGCCAAGAAGTACCTTGACCTGATGCTGCTCAAGGGCCTGCTGAAGCTGTGTCCGCTTCCTCTGGGCCTCCTCCAACTGGGTTAGGGCCTGGGTCACACTATTTCTGATGACTTCCACCTGGTCTTGGTAGGTGGCCTTCAGCTCTTTCCATTGCTCCTTGGCTTCAACTGCCTTCTGTCCTGAAAAGAGTCACCAGATTTAAGGGCATAAGGAAAGACCACTCCCAGCCCACCACTCAGCAACATGTAGCCTCAATCTTCCCATCAGCCCAAAATGGACCTGAACAGCATCCTCCTGCCCTCCCCAAGCAGGCACACACTTTAACCTACTGTTTACTCACGGCTAGTATCTTCAGAAGCCAAGGGGTCCAGTCCCTGGGCTGTACCCTTCTTGGCCACGAAGTTCTGTAGGAAGTCGGCTACCTGAAGCTGGCTGCACAGAAGCTTGTCTTTCTTTCGTGAGTTCTGTTCCAAAGGAAAGAGGCAGGGAAAAGCTCAAGGAAGCCTTTCAGTAAGCAGTCCATCAGTCCTGCCCGGGGTCTTGACATGATAGCCCCTGGCTTTCTTCTTTCTTAAGATTTCTTTATTTTTATTGGAAAGCCAGATTTACAGAGGAAAAACAGAGTGAAAGACATTCCATGTGCTGCTTCACTCCCCAAGTGGTCACAACTGCCACAGCTGAGCTGATGCAAAGCCAGTAGGCAGTAGTCAGAGCTCCCAGAAGGCTTTGGGTCATCCTTGACTGCTTTCCCAGGTCGCAAGCAGGGGAATGGATGGGAAAGCGGAACAGCTGAGAGAGGAATCAGCGCCCACATGGGATTTCAAGCACATGCAAGGTGAGGAGTTAGCCTTTGAGCCACTGCACCAGGCCTGATTTCTGGCTCTTTAAAGGCTGGTTCCCACATTGTACATACCCTCTCAAACTCTGCCAGCATCTGGGCTGGCAGTCCGGCCTCTTCTTGCAGTCCTACAGGCTCCAGAAAGTCTGCTACTTCGGCAAGGACCCTGAAGAAGCAACAGAAGAGGTGCTGGCTCTAAAGCGTGTATGCACAGACAGATGGATGTTACCAGTTCTGAGTCTCCTCCTGACCAAATTGTCTTAAGAGCAGCCTACACCCTGTGACCAGGAACAGAGTGTGAACGGAAAACCTACAGTAGCAGTAATGCCAGGAACAAAGTCAGAAAAGAGGGGAATAAAGAGTGTGGGAAAGGAGGTAAGATGTTCAGTAGGGACTATTTAAATGGAAGCACATATAGTATGAGTAAAACGTGAAGAGGGAGATCTATAGGGAAAATAAAAAGGCAAAGGCGGGCGCCAGCAGCCTCCGGGGCAGCCTCGGACTTGGTGCGGGAGAGGGGTCTCCAGGTTTTTCCTGCTTAGGGGCAAGAGCACGCTACTAGGAGGCAGAATGGCAAGTAAGATAATGCACTAGGAAAGCGTTTACAAAGGAGGAGAGGCAACTAAAAGGCCCGTCTGGCAGGTCGCCGGGGCAGGTGGAGGCGAAACCTCTCGGGAGACCATGGGAGAGAACAGACACACAGGAAGGGGGTAACTGCCATCCGGTAAAACACACCCCGAAGCAGGGCACGGCGCTGGCAGCACGAACGACCACCTCAGGAAGCCAAAGCCCCGAGGGCCCAAACCCCGGCAGCTCCCCGGGGTCTGTGGGGACACAGCGCCCTGCCAGCCCACTCCCTGCGGCGGACCGCAGCACCTACTCCAGCACGGCGCGCTCCGCCTGACTCCCGGCCGCTTCCATGTCGCGTACCAGTGACCCTCCTCACAACCCACAGCTTTGGATTCACAACAGACTGCGCGCCATCGCAGCCGATTGGGCCGCTGGTTCAATGGGCGGGGATGAAGAATCCTCCTGTCCTCTTATTGGCTCCAAACTCGCGTCAGCACGCCACTCTCGCGTGCTCTCTTTGACGCAGGCGCAGTTGAATCTGGGCCCGGGCGGCGAACGAGCGGTGCGCCTGCGCGGCAGCCCGCAAACAACACCAGAAAGAACAAGTGAGCCTTTCGTCTTTTGGTGCAGAGGCTCGCGTGTTCTCGTTTCGTTACTGTGAGGGAGAGTGGTGACGCGCAGCCCGGAGTTTCAGTTTTTAAGACTTTACACCAGTTTCTTTTAAAAATTCAGCACTGTGGTAAGGAATACACTAAAAGCGCTCTTTTCTCAGTGGTGAACCTGGGTCAATGGCATCCGCTGCCTTTTAAGTTTTGCGATGTGGAGAGAACAAAAGTAGATCCCAGTGGATTACCTGCCTTGATAAGACAGAGCTGAAATTCTGGAGATGTGATGTTCTATGCAGACTATAGCAGGGGGAAAGTATTTAGCGTTCTGTACTTTCTTGAGCTTCTAGAAGTTTTTGTCTATCCGTGGAGATCACACAGCGTAGTAATGGTGACTGTATCTACATATCAGGTAATGTCGTTATTCGTGGGGAACATACTGCTTTCGTAATAGCCATTAGTTAAGTCCAGGACAGGCATTTGGTTAGAAGGTGAAGATGCTGTTTGGGAAGCAGCTAGTGATGCCTGTAACCCATTTTAGAGTACCTGCTTTCAAGTCCTTGTTTTGCTTCTGATTCACGTTTCCTGTTAGTGTGTCCCTCTAGGAGACAGCAGATGATGGTTCTTACAAATCAGGACTTACGAGATTGGGCCTTTGCGGATACCCTGTAAGAAGGTGGGGTCCTCAATAAAATAGCCACAAGATCTGCTAACAGTCTGAAGCGAATGTTTCCCTAATTGAGCTTCCAGAATAGATTATGCCCAGTTAATGTTTTTCATTGCATCCTGAGACCCCGAGTAGAAATATCAAATTATGGCTTATGGAAATTGCTTACAATCCTAAACTATAGAAACCATGAGGCAATAAGTCTGTGTTGTTAAGATGTTAATTCGTTACATAGCAATAGAAAACTAACACAAAGTCAGTGATGTGGCAATGGGGTTATACAGTCATCTGCAATATCAACATATCATACAAGCATCAGTTAGAAGCCTAGGTGGTCCACTACCTGGTCAGTTCCGTGCTGATACACTTGGAAACACAGTGGGAAGATGACCCAAGTTCTTGAGCCCCTAAAGACAATGGGAGACCTGAATAGAGTTCTAGGCTACTGGCTTTATCCTGCCCAGCTCAGCTGTTGTAGCCATTTGGGAAGTCAACCAGTGGATCAAGTATCTCTCCCTCCATCCCTAACTTTGCCTTTCAAGTAAATCAGTAAATATAAAAACAAAACAAAACAAAAACACTAATGTAAGTAACTTCTATAGCCAGTAGTAAAGAAGTAGAGCTTATAACCCAAGAATAGGGATACTATAGAATTCAGGTAATACTGAACAAATCTGAAAGAAAACAAAAGAACAGGAGTAAATAAGGGGGGTGAGCAGAAAATAAATAGCATAACAGTACACTTATGTGTAACCATGGGAATAATCACAATGATATAGATGTCTAAATTGTTCAATTAGAAATTACAAATGATCAGATTATTTGCAAAAAACAAAATACAGAGGCTACCACAGTAGCATAGCAGGTTGGACCTAAGCCTGCAGTGCTGGCGTCCCATGTGAGCACTGTTGATTACACTTACATTCCAGATTTCTGCTAATGCGCCTTAGAAGACAGCAGAGGGGCCCGGCGCGGTGGCCTAGTGGTTAAGGTCCTTGCCTTGTACACCCGGGATCCCATATGGGCGCCGGTTCTATTCCGGCAGCCCCGCTTCCCTTCCAGCTCCCTGCCTGTGGCCCGGGAAAGCAGTGGAGGACGGCCCAAAGCTTTGGGACCCTGCACCTGCGTGGGAGACCCGGAAGAGGCTCCTGGCTTTGGATCAGCATAGTATCGGCCCGTTGCGCTCACTTGGGGAGTGAATCATCGGACGGAAGATCTTCCTCTCTGTCTCTCCTCTCTGTATATCCGCCTTTCCAATAAAAAAAAATAATAAAAATAAATCTTTAAAAAAAAAAAAGAAGACAGCAGAGGATGGCCCTGATGCTTGCACCTCTGTGCCTATGTAAAAGACCAGGATGAAGCACCTGGCTCCTGACTTCAGCTTCACCCAGGCTTAGCCACTGTAGACATTCAGGCAGTGACCACCAACAGATGATGGAAGACTTTCTCTCTCTCTCTCCTGCATCTTCCTTTCCATCTCTGTATCTCTACCTTTCAAATAAATAAATATTTTTTCGAGACTCAAGCAGTTATATTGAAAACTGCACTAAAGATAAAGGTGCAGGAAAAGCATTTAAGATGCTGATTAGAATGGCCAAAACCCATGTTGGTATACTTGGTTTTCACTGTTAACTGTGGCTCTCATCTCAACTCCCTGCTAATTCAGATGCTTGGAGGAGGTTGTGATGGCTAAAGCAGTGGAGTTCTTATCCCCGCCCCTTTGGAATACCTTGATGGAATTCTGAGATTCTGATTTTTCCTCATGGCCATTGTAGGCATTTGCAAATGAACAAGTGTGTGGGTTCCCTCTTTCTTTCTTACTCTCTCTACCTTTTAGGTAGGGAAATTTCCCAAGAGAAAATTAAAACAATGGAAAATATAAGCTGTACTATCACTAATTAGTTTGAATTGCTATTTTAATACAGATATCTAAGTTCAAACAAAGGAGTATCATCAGAAGATGATGTTGTAACCTTAAAGGGGTCAATTAATCATATAAAATTAACAATTGTAAAAGTTTATCCAGGACTGGCATTGTGATGTAATAAATGCATTAAGCCAGTATCTGTGATATCAGCATAGGTTCAAATCCTTGCTACTCTACTTCCACCAGCTCCCTGCTAGTGTGCCTGAGATCGTGCTTATTACCCCATCACCTGTGTGGGAGACCTGGATGAATCTCCTGGGTCCTGGATTCACTCTGCTTCAAGACTAGCTGTTATTGCATCCATTTGGGGAATGAACCAGAGATGAAAGATCTCTCTCATTCTCTCCCACTCTCGGCCTCCCTCTCTGCAACTCCACCATTCAAATGAACAAACAAAATTCTAAAACAAAGTTGATCCCTGTATAATGCAAACCATGAAACCTGATGAATCAGAACTCGGCGAAGTGAGCAGGGAAGCAGAAATCCTTACTTAGAGCTCATATTTGTAAAAACAACTTGCTGCGACTGATAAAACTACATCTAGTGAGAGATCCTTTGTCCTTTCTCATGCGTAACAACCAAAGAAACCCATTGCAAGGCTGTAAATAAGTAAACTTAAACGAATAGCAATATGCAAAATGTTTTGTGGCATGTAGAAGATTTGAGCAATTTCTACATGTGTTGGATTTTGACTATTGTACTATATTGTGTAGCCTTTTGGTAATTAATCATTAAGTCTTCCCATACATTTCGTTCACATTTTTCAGACAATATCAATTCTTTCATACATATATATCAAACATCCTTAATGTAGACTCTTTAAAATTTTAAGGGCATTCTAATGCCAGATCATTTTAACAATTTATGTAGAATTATTTAACATTCTTAGCTCCTGGGTTCCCCCTGGTCCAGGAATGAACCGATAGATGAAAGATCTTTCAATATTTTCTCTCTCTGTCCCTCCATCCCTTCCACCCCCTACTGCTCTGCTTCTCAAATATTTTTTCATTCCATTTTATCATTTGTTATGTAAGGATAACAATGATGAAATTCATTCTGAAAAATTAAAAAAGATTTGTAACTGCTTCACTACATCTTTGACACAAGGTGAATGTTACATTTTATATTTGCTTCCATCATTTCTTTTTGGATGCATATTTATATAAAGTCAGAACATGATTAATTCAGAAATAATTTGGAATAATCTGTCACCCAAGAATTTAGTAAATGTTTTAAAGCATACAACATAGACGACACTATCTTCCAATATGATGTCTCTCAAATTATACTAATGCTTGTCCGATTTATGATCTTTTCACATTTTCCCATCATTCATTTTTCAATGCCAACTTGATCAATAATCTTAAAACCCTAATTATGTATTTAACTGAACAACAGTTCAGGAGTATCATTTCAGAGCCTTAACATTTAGCTCAAAAAATTATTACAACTCTTACATGAGCTTTGATTCTGGGAGTTAGTATGAGGTTAGCTACAGTTGTGCTTTGCTGGAATTTTCAAATCAAGATATTTTATTTCATTTCAGAAGGATCTTCATGTTTAGCATCAAAATTACAGATCATCAGGCAGTTCTTGCATCGGTTTGCTAGTTCCAGATGGATAGATTCTTACATACTGCTCAATTCCCTATTTTAGTTTCATTTCTCTAAGAATGCTCACCATCCATGCAATTTGGACACAGCCCATCTGAATTAAATTGCCAGGCACTCACAGAAAGAGACATCTCAGCAGGAGCAAATGCCCATGGAAGCCTTTTGAATCTCCTCTCATCAGAATCTCACTTTCCAGCTCCTTAGTGCTTGTTTTCTGACGTCAATGAGCCAAAATACCACTATAGAAGCCGGAAAGCTGAAGGGATTGTTTTTAAATCCTAAACTCATCAATTTTTTAAAATGTATCTGTGGCATGTTCAGTCATGTTTAGGTTGTTCTCATTGCCTCAACCTGATTTTCCAGGGAGATAATTCCTCCTTATCTGTATATTTTTGTTTCAGTGCAAGGAGTTATCTGTTACTCCTAATCACAAAGCTGATTTGGATTAGTCACCATCAATAGCCATCAAGAATCACTCAGGGAGAGCCAGTATTTCTCAGAGACACAGAGTGAGTGGCTTGGAAAAGAAAAACAATAGGTGCAATTT